AGGACCCCTGCTGCCGTGCACTCCGGGCCAGTCAGGAGTGTCCTGGAGGAAAAGTTAAAATTCAAAAATTTTGTGACTCGGGCATAACATCGCATCCTTTTTGTGCACAGCACACAGGCACGGTGATGGTTGCTGTTTGTTGCCAAAAGGCCAACGAAAACTCTTCTGTGCATCTCCTGCGTTTGCTGTTCTCATGCTCCTGAGCTACCTCGGGGCTGTTGGTAGGACATGGTCATCCCTCACAGGGGACACCAGCCAAGCCACCGCGCTGGCCACCACCTCACAGCAACCTTAACTGGGATTCTCATGCTGAAAACAGGGAGCAGGGAAGAAACCCAGGACGCCGTGAGGGGGTGTGCCCGAAGGAAACCCCAGGCAGCACGGAAAGGAAGGTTATTAAGGTTATTTTAACGTCTGCTTCGTGCTGCTTTCATCACTCTGGACAAGGAATGAGTTTGGGTTTGGTTACTCTTCCAAAGTGCTGTCAAAGGCACAGAAGACACTTGCTTTATGCACCAAGTGCCCATCAGGGCAGGGAACATTTCATCATCGCCCTTATTTCAGAACCAGTTTTGACTGGGAGAGTATCCGTGTTGGGGACGGGGAGCCGACACACACAGGCGCATCTTCATTCATTTAAATACACCAGCAACGACTCTGGCTTGCAGTGAGTAATCTTCTTCCAGTGTAAGCATCTTGGGCCCACATGTATCTTTGCTCCTGACTTCAGGCTGGTGAATGGAAAGAAGAGCTGAAGATGTTCTAAAGTCAAGAGTTTGTGTCCGAGGACATGGAAAATAGCACGATCTGGGCTGTAATTTCTGGTGCAGCGTAGGAGACTGTATCAACACAGATCCAGAACCTTGAGCAATATTGTCCTGCGGTTTGATTTCCATTCTGGCACACTAAATGCAGTAAAGCCCAGGTTTTTCATGGCACTTTCCATTTTTGATTTAGGGAATTTGAAAAATACTTGTCTGGAGGCTGAGCCTGAAGTTATAATCTTGGCATATCCATACCATAAAATTCCTGTGGATAAAAGCAGAAACATCTGGATTCATGAGTGGATGTTGGCTAAATCCATCAGAAGAGAAAAAAAAAAAAAAAAGCCTTCAAGGGATCCTAGAGGGTTCTAGCCAGAATAAATAATACAACAAAACAAGAGCGCTATTAAGAGTAATTGTAATACTGAAGCTGAATTATAAGATGAGGGCCAAGCCCTTTTCACAATCTGCTTTTCCAGCTAAGAGCCCTTCAATTTACACTTAACACACATGTGGCTAATGGAACAAAGAGAAAATTGAAGAAGGATGAAAGCAGTGCAGAGATTATTCAGCCTTGCTGGTTTAGCTCCAGGCACATCGTTTAAATGAGTAGATGATCAGTTTCCAGTTTGTTTTAAATTCTCTGGCAAGAAGTTTTACGCTCTATCCCAAAGTTGGATGTGCTTAAATCTACTTTTTTTTAGGGCTCTGCCATTTTGTTTTAGTTCTTAAGGGAAGACTCGAAGTGCTCTGCAGGAGACACCTGAGTGCTGGGACTGGCTGTGTCACCGAGGAGGCCACATCCCTGTTCCCAGCCCACGGGGACCCTGGGACGGGGGAACAGTTGCTCCTTTTCTCCCTCACCCCTGGGAGGCTGAGCCCTGCCTTGCTGAGCCAGATGCTATATCCAAGCTCAGCATCACCCAAAGTCAAGGGAAGTGGCCAAAACCACCCTGTCCCCCACAGACTTGCAGCCTCTTTAGCTGCACCCTGTCACACCAGCACTACTTGCCTTCAACCAGGCTAGTGGAAGGGGAAAGGTTTGTGTTGCTTGCCCTTTGCATCTTCTCTTGGTGTTGTCAGGGTTAAGAGCTGCTGAGCAGCACGTCCTCTCGCCACCCAGCCCCTCCGGCATGGGTCTCCTCCACCCACCTTGCACCAGGTCGCCAAAGTTGCCAGGAGCACCAGGTCATGCAAAGTGTCTTCCTCTGCTGTGACGGGGTAAACTACGCCCGCAGCCAGGTGATTAATAAGTAAGTTGTATTTTGCTGAAAATGCCCTTAACACACCATCCCTCCCCAACAGATGTGGTCAGCATTTCTCATTACCTGGACTTTGTCCGTGCAGATCTGCCTTACTGACCCTCACTGACCTTGCACGTTGCCCTTCCCGATTCCCGGAAAGCCTTGGGCATTTGCCTGCTCTGTAACCTTCAGCCAGCGAGCTTGAGGTGAGTTGCTTCTTGGTGAAATAAAAACTTTATTGGTCAGTCCTTGTCCTGCCCTCCCTCCTTGTTGCCCTCGTCTTCCTTGTCACCCATCCCACAGCCAACCGGTTGAATAGCCCCTGGGGGAGTTGGTCTGTTGGTACCACTCTAGTAGGTCCTCCACCATGGAGAGACTTTAGGTTGTCCTCCACAGAGACGCTTCCTGTGATGCACTGCCAGTGCTTAAAGCTCTCTGAAGACTGCCACTAGGCTCTGAATGGTGGGATACATGTTTGGGGTGAGGCAATACTAGAAGTATGACTGGAAATACCAATGATGTTTATGCTGCCTTACGTTACATGCAAAGAGTAATCCTGTTTATGCTGTAAGGAGTGGGAGTTCAATTGGCCTTAAAATAACCTCAACGCATCTAGGCAATCCATAAATAGGACTCCCCAGTATTTCTCAGGACGTTATTTTCAGCAGATCTTGTTATTTAATTTGCTGCCAACATCTGTCGTTTCCTCCACTGCGTATTGCCCAGCACCCACGGCCTGGGTCTGAACCGAAAGCTGACGGGACCTAATGCAAAAAATTCAGAGCGCTGCTTTCCATTACCATAGCATTGCATCTTGACCGTCAAAGTGAAACGAGGAAATAAATCTGTTCATAGATGTTACAAAATATTTGTTTTAGATTAGCTGCTGTCACTGCCACTGTCCACATTTGCAGTTGTATTCTTCCACCCGGCTTGAAGCTGAAGGCAATAGGAAGGTCTGCTGAAACTGCAGGGCTCTCGGTAAGGAATAAGTAGTTTGAGAAGTGTAGATGAAGCAGAGGTAAATTTAGAATCTCAGATAAGAAAATATCTGTATCTTCAGTGCTCTGTGGTTTTATTTTGCTCTACACAAAGCACACCTTGGTTTTGCATGGCTGTTTGCAGATTGTACCGCCTCAAAGAAGGCTTGTGGAAAAAAAAGTCTTTGATGTCGTCAGTAAACAAATAGCGGTGTTAAAAGATCTTCGGTTCTTGTGAGCATGCTGCAAACAGCTATGTTTGAAGAAAAATAAACATCCCAAGGTTGATGGAAGGGTAGGAAAGTCATAAAGTACTGCAGTCAAATCCTTGGTATGAGGACATCAGAAATGGCAGTGCCATGAAAAAAAAAAAATTATTCCCTCTCTCCTTTTAGGTTAAAAAAAGAACAAACTGGGTGCATGGTTTACCAGCCATGCAGTGGTAATATGTGTGTATAAAACCCCATGGCTAAATCATCACCATCCAATAATACAAGAATACTGTCAAGTCCACTGGAAAACCAAGTGTCCTGGAGATCCTCCCCTCCAACCATGGGGTGAGGGGAAGAAGACTCACCCTTCCTCCAACCCTTCTTTGACTCAGCTTTCTCAGTGCTTCACCCACTGCCACAGGGCCACCAGCACCTCTTAACCCTCGCAGCTAAAGGACCTCATCCTAAAAAACCTCATCGGCTTTTATATTGTGCAACGAGCTGCATGCATCGCGCTCTCGGTGAGGAGGATGAGGGTTTCATTGCCACCTGCCTACCTGAGCTTTTACGCTGTAAAGTTTGTTGTACTTGTCTCGTTGCCTCACTTACAAGATCCCTTTGGGAATGCAAAAGCTTAGGAAATGAACCAAAGAAAAGAGCTAAACAATGATCTCAATTATGCCAGCATAACCCTGGGGATGTTAATTTACATTTATGCCCTTTTAATAATCCAAATTTAGTTCAAAACGAGAAACTTCGGGTTTTCTCTGTAAAGGGAAATTAAAAATCAGCGGGTCATGATAATAATCAATACACCAATATTTATTGCAAATTTAAATCTTATCAAGAGCCTCCAGGGAGCCTCTCGCTTTAGTTTCATGTAATTCCAAGCATTTCTCTGTTTAAAGAGAGTTCACAGGAGCTAGGAAATAAATAATTCAGATATAGTTGACTTTTTAAAGTCTCTGTAGCATCACTAACATCTTTCCTTCGATAACGCTTTTGTTCTGCCTACCAAAGCTTCATTCCAAATGGGACCGGCGAGGCAAACACTCCATCTGAAGAACCAGGGCTTATAAGAAAAAATGAGGGGGGAAGCAAAATTTCTGGGAAAAAATGCTCATAATCCCATAACTTCATACAAGCTCTTCACTTTTCGTTGTGAGCCTCTCCCTGCTGGATTCACAGCGAGGGTTTGTAGCTAAAGCCGAGCCAGAGACGGTTCATAATAAACAGAAGCTCCTTAGAGACCGTAGCCATGGCATGTGCGAGCTGTTTACCTGGCACGACGAAGCACTATTCTGTGTATCTTCAGATGTTCCTACAGAAACAGAAGGTCTTACAGTGGAGTAAATGGGGCCCCTCCACCCCCAGGAATACGGTGGGTTTTTTTCCCCAGACTCGTTGCCCTTCACTTCCAGCTGCGGAAAGCCCATCCTGGGGTTTCCGAATTCCTCCTCCACGCGCCTTCCCCAGAGGACGGTCCCGGTGCAGAGGGAGCCAGAAACTCGCTGGCAGCAGCTGGGGTGGCTGTTTCCAACACTGACCTGCCCATCGCGGCAGCCTGTGCGGGGCGCGGGTCCAGAGCGGGACCACCTTCTCCGCCGGGAGATCTGCCGCCGCCGTAATGTGTTCGGAGCAGGGAAGTTGAGAGGGAACAGGCTGTAGCCGCTGACTTGCCATCAAGCGCGCGGCACGCCTAACGCGGTTGGTGTCTCTGGTTGCCCCCCATGTGAAAGATAAGGCCACTGAGAGCTTGGAGAGGTGCTCTGGAGGCTGCGGGTCGCTCCTAGGACCTGTCCCCGGCCATGGTGGGGGAAAGGCCTTTGCTTGCAAAGGCCTTAGGGCTGGATGCCTCCCACTGCTCCGCAGGCTGGGTCCTTGTTTCTCCCTACCTGCCGCAGCAAATGTTTCGATCGCCGGAGCCAAAGCAATTGCGTTGCGTGCTTTATCCTGTGCAGCTCCCGAGGCACGCTGCTAATAACCATCAAACCCATGTCAGACCTCTGGTCCCCCACTGGGGTGCTGCCACCAGCACCGGGTGCCAACACGTGCCCCAGGGCACGTCCGGATCCTCCGAAAGGAGACTCGAAGGGGACGGTCATGCTTCGGGCTAAGCCAGCTTGCACGGTGGCGGGGGAAGGCAGGACGGCAATTCTAACAAGCGGTAATTTTACCATCAAACTTACACCTTTGAGGATCCTGTAATACCCAATTCAGCCCGTCGGGCGGGATTGGGCACTGAACTGATTTATGGCGTCGCGCAGCAGGCTGCGTGGAGCGTGTTTATTCAGATAATATTAGCCCTCTTTATCAAACACTGTTCGGCGTCCAGTTTAATTAGAACACAATTAGCAGGGCTAGCAATTTTCTCAAATATGCCCAATCTTCTCTGAAATGAATATTAGTCTCTGTTCAATGTGCAAGTCGGTAGAGTGACACATGGAAAATTACACGCTCTTGACTCAGGAATGCGACTCGGAGGATGACTTCATGTTCCTGAACGAGAGGATCGGCATGCAGAGGCACCCAGTGCCTGACCCCTTTAAAGGCTCTGAAAGACGACAGGTAACTTTAAAATGATATTTCATGCATGCAGAAGGCAGAAAGAGAACCCGATAGCTTTGTGTTACTTAGCTTCCCATTTAATTTGGTTCGGGCGGTGTGAATGTCTTAATAGCACGAAGCAGAGCTCTGATCTCTGTTCTGGCTGCGTGTTTCCAATAGACACCCTAATGCCTGTCTCATGGCCAGAGTGGTTAACAATCCGTATTTTCTTGCTGTTAATTAGAAGTTGTGTTTCATTCCCTGATGCAGAGCGAGGCTCGCAGCGTAGCTGACAAGTTTGCACTCCTCGCTTTGAGTCATACGTTGAATTTTACTGAATCATCTTATCTGGAGATAAAAGCAACAAATGTGAGCATAGAATTAACACCTTTTAAAAATTGCAGTTGTATTTTTAAGTCACAAAAAGCAGGTGTCATTCAGTCTTACCTTTTCCTCTGCTATAGACTTGAATGTCCTTTCTTTTTCCGTGGCCTACTGCTCCCTCCAAAAATCCTGTTAAGAAGTATCTGGAGAATGATCCAGGTCTCTGTCTTTAATAACCGTGTCCCCGTACCAAATTATATAACTGCATTTTGTACACTTGTATTCTTCCTCTCCCCCAGTGCATTCCACGCACCTACACAGTCATGCTAATTAGATCATGTAATAAACTTAAAACGTGGCAAAAAATCTGTTTACAGGGTGTTGCAAGACAGAGCTGGAATTGGAAAGCAGCCATTCATGAATTTTGTTTTGCTTGAGAAAACCCAAAGGATGTTATTTTACTGAAGATGAAGCAAACCCCATGTAACAGGAGCTGTAGTCTAAGGAGACATATTATTTTATTTTAAATAGTCTTCAGTGAGCCCTGATAAAAGGGCTTGCTTATATGAAAAAAAAAGTGTGACTTGAACAAAGCCGTTAAACGTAATTAAATCTAAACTAAAAAAATGAACTAATGTTAAGTTAAACTTGATTAGTTAACTAAACTTAACTGACTAGTTTAGTCAAACTTGACTAATCATAACTAAATGAATGTTAGTCCGTAATATGCACCTACAAAGGAACTAAGTAGCAAGGAACTTGGGTGTCCTTTAAATGAAAAGAAGTGTCTGCATGGGATATGGCGGTAGATTCAAAATGCACCCCAATCCATTTTTCTATAGATGGTGTTAAACTGTGGGTAAGACAGTAATCCCAGCCTCCGTGGGGTACTACAGGAGAGCCGCAGCTCTGACGTACCCCCTGGGCATTGCAACCTCGGGCTCGCACACGCGTTTCCAGGGAAAGGAGGATCTCCGAGCGCTCTGCTCGTTTGGCAGCAACGTTTAATTGGGGCTGGTTTTACGATGCAGCTGGTAACGTGATCGGCCGTACGGTAGAAATCGCTCTCTTAATATCACTTCAGGTGCTAAAAGTTTTGGCCACCATTGCACTGAATCGCATTTAAACCTGTAGATCATTTGAGTCGGCTCTTAACTACAACCACAATAATTTGCACAACGATCTAGACAACCTGAGAGCGTCACCAGGTGATTGCAGTTCGGCAAAGCTGGCGAAGGCAGCGGCACGGAGCTTTGAAAATGTGCCGTGTCGTAAAACACGCGGGGAGCTGAGGCTGGGGCTGGGTAGTGGTGTGGTGGGCCGGGGACCGCCGGTTCCCTGCCTGCGGATTTCATCAAACTGCCGTTAACGAAGTATGGCGATAACTTCCAGCTATATCCCTGATCAACACTAGATGTTGCTATGCTGCTACTCATATAAGCTATACATTAGCGAGGCTTTTAAACGGTATTTACCGCAATTTCCTCTTTCCTGTTTCCGTTATTCACTACACTGTGAGTGTTGGGTGAGCTGCTACTTTAATTTACTTTTTTTTTTTTAAGTTTCACTCTTCTTTGTATAATAACAAGTTTATAACCCCCTCGAATGTACACATAAAACTTTACAAGCAACAGAGACTCTTGTTAAGTGATAACATGAAGCAACTCCTATATGAATGTCAAATATTTACTTAAACTCTGCTTCTGGATTTTTTGCAATCCAAGGGGAATGACATTGTTAACCAGACGATTCTGGGAACAGACTGACAGCTGCAAGGCCACGGAGAGAACTTTGTTTATAAGGGTGGGACGGGGGGAGAGATATATATATAAAAAATTTTTAAAACTGTTTAGCCCTGCTGGGTTTCAGGCTTTCTACTCCCACATGTTTGAGTGGGAGAAAGGACAAATCTTAGGACGTTGATTTCCCCATGGCAACAGAAAACGGAAATTACTTTAACCCCATCTAGTGACAGATGACTCATTGCTCAGCCTGCTGCTATTTTCCAAGCACTAAAACAATACAGCTGCAAAGACAAGGCCAGCCTATATTGTGTCATAGGCTGCGCGCCGGGGCTCGTGGGACAGGGCAATCCTCTGGCCGCCTTTTTATCAAAGACAGGCAGAGCCGGAGCCTTTTGGCGATTCTTTTCTTGTATAAGGCGAATGTGCCCGCGTGCTCCCCGTCCCCGCGCCGCTGGGGGGCAAGCCCGGAGTGTCCCAGGGATGGAGGTGATGCAACGCCCATGGGGTTCAGAGGGCATGGTGGTGTTGGGTTGACGGTTGGACTTGATGATCTTGAGGGCCTTTTCCAACCTTAATGATTCTGTGATTCTGTGGGTGAGGTACGCAGGGTGGATGTCCCACTCGGTCCTCCTCGCCCTGCACCCAGTGGCCCAAGGGGGCATTTCCATGCTCTCAGGTTAAACAACCCTCCCTTGAATTACGTGCAATGAACTGTGCCTGCAATAGAGGAACGATTCGTTCACAAGTGCAGCGGGGTGAGGGGACAGCAGGTATAAGCAGGGTTTCCAGGCCCCTAGATATTAAAAAGGTATATGATGGCAGAATTGCTTTTCTGTTGTAACGAGATCCCACAGGTAGAGGCTGAAATAGGAATATTCAGCTGTGAAAGCTGAATTGTCCTAGCTGAAAGGGTAAATAGGGAGAGCAGTTTCTGAGCAAGGATGGTGGAACCATTATCATTTGGAGTCCTTAAACCTATATGAGGTGTTGCTGTGAAAGACAAGCTTCAATCCAACTTGTAGGACAAAGAGGTAAGCTGTGTTGCTCCGAAGGTCCGCCTTAATGGCCCTATCTGTCTTCTTGCTCCTTAGATCTCTTGCAGCAGAGCTGCACAGAGCTACCAGCTCATCCGAGGAGCATCTCTGTTGAGCACCTCCAGCATCGGGACAATGACTCTTGCTCAGCACCTTCCGGACGTGGCAGAGAAGGGCTGTTCTGGAGAGGAGCTGATGAAGCTCATGGGTTTTGGTGTAGTTCTTCATTTGCCTTTTCCTACCAGCAGCTCAGTGCAGGGAGCACCCCCTTCTTCAAACAGGGGTTTTCCCAAATCCTGGTAAGGATTTAGTAAGGCTCATAAGTAAAGACTACTAAGGTTTACTGAGCCTCAGACGCATTTTGCACATAAAATATTACACCATTGAACGGGGAAGATTAATGCTACCATGGGGTTGATATGCTGAATTATTGGTCAGTCAATATCACTTTATTCACCTCAAACTGGGGGCAGACATCACGGCGTTGGGAATTCAGAACCCCAGGAAAGCTATGTGGCAGGATGGTGTCATGGCATATGTGAAACTTTTTCTTTCTGGAAAAACAGGCTGCACTGCTGGTGTAATAGCTGAGTCTTTAGTCAATCTGGTTATCTATATGCTGGTATGGTTAATTTTCTGCTTCCTAACAGCAGAAAATCAGGTCCTTAAGTTTCAATTTGGACAGTACAATTAACAAAAAGAATAACTCCGTTACCAGGTTCTTCTGGAAACCGGACGCTGGGCTGCATTAACGGCACAAAGACTACCTTCGTGCAGAAACCAACACATGCCAACAGGAACGGACGGCTCTCTGGGCTCAAAGCCGGCCCTCGAGCGGGGTCTCTGGGCTGCGCAGCGTGCTGCGGTCGGTGCCTCGGTGCGGGTTTGCTCTCTGGGAACACCCT